ATATACTACACACACACACAATATATATATATATATATATATATATATATATATATACACATATACATATACATATATATATTATACATCATATATATATATATATAAATACATCCATATTTATATGTGTTTTTCATCTATTTCTTTACATACATGTATGTAATAAATAAATGGAACAATGCTTTATTTCTCGCTGTCACTCATCACTCGTCACTCGCGACGCGGCGGCGCGCGCACACGTACGCAGCATCCTTGAGTCTCGACTCCAGGCTGGCCTTGTCCGTCTCGAGGCTGAGGATCGTGATCTTGTCCTGGTCGGCACGTGCGTTGGCTTCGCGCTTCATCCTCTCGACCTCCTGCTGCACGGCCGTGATCTCCTGCAGAGCCTTCTGCAGCTTCTCGTTGATATTCACGCGCTCCGCGTCGGCGACGGACAACGCCTGGAAGCGGAAACCATGAGATACTGCGATGAAGCCTGTGAATATCCTGATTGTTTCACTTCATCATTTATAATGCCTACAGATGGCGCAACCTGTTTAGAGGTGTTCAGCTGCTGTTGTTAAAGTGATTACGTCACGAATTTCTAGCACCATCAAGTAGTATATTTGTGTGTTATTTGTACAAAATAAAATGTATGAAAATACAATTAGTCTTTCTGTTTACTTTTCATGCTTATATACCTTCTTTATATGCCCTAATTTGCCGGTGAAAAACAGAGAGACGCCAGTATCTGAACAGTACTGGGGGAATAGTGTTAGACAACAGAAATTACCAAATCGTCTAGATTTTTGCAATTTCTAACCAACGTAAAAACATTTTTATCAGGTGAGAGTTTGAGGATATATTTAGTAACGTTAGTTCTTACTTTAAATGTAAAAAAATGGCAATTTTTTTTTTACAAATTTTACCATCGAAAATTCGTGACGTAGTCAATTTAAGGACTTACCATTCGTAAACTGTCTTGAATATAATTCGGTAAATTTAATTGATAAAACTTACACTGATTACTTACTGATAACTTATTGCCAATAAAATCACCGATAAATTCATCGCTAAAGAGCATCATCGTAACATGTCCGACGCCATTGACACGTCACCGCAGCAACAGTACCTCTTGTTTCTCGGTCTCTGCGACCATCAGAGCGTCGTCGCGGTCGCGGATGAGCGAGGAGATCTCGTCGCTGAGGTCCTTCTTCTCCTTCTCGCTGATCAGCCCCAGATCCTCCTTCTCCATGTTGCACTTCTCCTGCATGGCTTCGGTCGTGGCCTTCATCTCGAGGCGCATGTTCTCCTGCGGGGGGCGAGGACGCGAGAATGTGTCAGTGTCACATGAATAAATCGCAGAAGAAAAAAATGAAAGGAAAGTGGAAAAAAGGGGGGGCCAAAAATTTGGCCTATGCAAGATCCTAAAATCACCACATGGATGAATCACAGAAGAAACAATGAAAGGAAAGTGGAAAAAAGGGGGCCAAAATTAGGAAGATGGAAGATCCTTAAGTCCTACACAACGGAAAAAAAGAGAGACGTGGTGCGGCAAAAAGCATAAATCGGAAAGATGCAACAGCGTATGAGAAGTCCAAAATAGACGAAGAGGAAAGAGGTAGAAAGAAATGGGAAGATACAAGGGTGAATTAAGAGAAAGTAAGAAACGAAAAGTGGGAAGATGCAAGAGTGCATAAAAATGAGAATATAGATAGCAAAGGGTGGAAAGATGCAAGAGGGCATATGTAGGGGAAAGGAAGAGTAGAAAAGTGGGAAGAAGCAAGTGTGTAAGAATAGGAAAGAAGAAGTTAAAAAGTATGAAACTGCATTGACACTGAGAAACTTTGCAAGCTCTCTTGAAATTTTTCCTACTTTTATCAACGTACCATCTTTACATCATTAAACATAAATAACATAACATTAGATTAACATTAATAATAACAACAGCAATAATAACAATAACAACAATAACAACGACAATCACCAGCTGCTGCAGCATCTGTGCGAGCTCCTCCTCGTGCGCGACCTTGGTCGCTTGGATCGTCACCGACTGGTCCTCCTCGTTGCGCAACATCTGAACCTCCATCTGCTCCTTGGTGCGCCGAGTCTTCTCCCCCTCGGCCTCCAAGTCCCTCTGCACGCGCTGACATTCCGCTACAAGAGCAAGCTACGCGGTCACGCTCGTGCCGTCGCTACAGTAACTAGCTTATGTTGCTATGGAAACTAGCTCCTGTTGCTATGGAAACTTGTTTCTGTTGCTATGAAAATTATCTTACGTTGCTATGGAAAGTCGCTTTAAACGTCACGAGATTACTAGTGATAACTGAAGGAATAGGTTCTCACAACAGCACAAACGTCACCTGTTTTGTAGTCGTCTACACAAATAAATATTGCAACAAGACAACTACAGGGGAGCTGCTATACGACTGCAAAAGATTGAAAATACGAATAAACAAAAAAGGTTTATGATCGGTACCATCTTTAACGAAAACGGAAAACGAGTTTGTGTAGAAATCCAAGTGGTGTGACTAGAGAAACGTGTGAGAAACAAGATGGGATAGAAACCGGGTGGAAATCCAAAGGAATGGTTAGAGTAGAGGAACATGTATTGTAGGAACAGGGCAGGAATCCCACATGAGACAGGACGGATATCCACAGGAATGGCAAACGAGGAGAAAGAAGGTTAGATAGAGACTTCCGCTTCCATTGCCATGGAAACTCGTTTTCGACGAGGTAAGTTCTAGACTCACTGTGATCATGCACTCGGTGACAAGTGACAAAAAGTTGTCACAACAGCAAAAACGTCACCTGTAGAGAAACGTGTGAGAAACAACATGGAATAGAAACTGGGTGGAAATCCAAAGGTAATGGCGAGATCAAAGGAATGGGTTGGATACAGGATGGCATAGATACAGGATGGAAATCCACGGGAATGGTGAGAGCAGAGACAGGAGACAGAAGATAGAGATAAAGGAAGCTTGCGGGAGTGGAGGCAGGATATAAAGGAAGCTTGCGCACCTTGCAGCTGCTCTCTCTTGACGAGCAGCTCCTGGTTCTCTCCCTCCAGCTGCTCCCTGCGCTGTTGCAGCTTCTCCACGACCTGCTGCGACTCATAGAGCTGCGTCTCCAAGTTGTCCTTCTCGGTTTTCAGTGCTGCACGCGCCAGAGCGAGAAAGAGGAAGAAAGGAGACATCTTAGCGCGTGCTAAGAGCACATGAGGTTTGAGTCTCACTAGGTCAAAGACGGCGAGTGCCACGGATACGCTCCGTGCCTGCCGTGGCGCCCCCGAAAATTGAACGATGTCCACTAGCAAATGTACATATCTCAAACTACCCATGTGCCTTTTGTCAAAAACTGGACATTTAAATCCCTGAGCTCCTGTACTAATGTACTACCCCGAGTCTGGCCAACCTGATTTACCTACGGGGGCCCCTTCCCGTAAAACCCACGTTCTGTTTGTATCCCGCTTTGATTCACTTAAAAGGTGAATCAAAGTGGTTGATATGGTAGAATGTAAAAAAGTGGTTGATATTGTTCCTTTGAAAAAAATAGTATGTCGTGGTGCCTCTCCAATTTGCTGTGGTGCCCTAGAGATTCCGATTAAACTGAAAAAAATTCGCATAACAAACTCACATTTAAACTCGTTAGTACCACTAACATCACCATTCGTGCATGTCAGCTGAAGAATACTGCTGTAAAATTCCTGTTATATCCTGTAAATTCCATTTATTTTATACGCAAATCACAGCACGATTGCCGGCGCGAATAAATTCCCCAATCAGTTGCGGGGGTGAATCTACAACGCAGTCGTACGAATTTTTCCCACCAGGCGGCAGCACTATGCACAGAGCACTGCCCGATGATTTTTACAATTCGCTCCCGCGGGACGCGAAATTTTTTTTCCCACGAGAGTTCCGGACCCCAGCCAATCAGCGCACTCCATTCACTCGACTACCTCGAAGCAACAATGCAAAACTTATACAACCTAAACCTAACCCTAAACCTAACCCTAACCTAACACTAACTATAATACAACCAGGTCCGTCTTATATACGCACCATATATTACAAAACACTATCTGTGGTGGGTCCGGAACTCTCGTGGGAAAAAAAATTTCGCCCGCGGGACGCCGCCGCGCACGTGATTTTTTCCGCCATTTTTTTTATTTTCTCCGATAGCACCCACCCCCGACCCCTTCACCCGCCGCCGCCCCACGGACCCCGCGGGATCACGTGCTGCGTGAGTAATTAAAGCCTTAAACATGCAAGCATGCACGCGGACGATGAAACCACGAGCTGCCGTGGGCGTGCTCGTCTGCAGAAGTGAAGCCTACGGAATGTCCCAACGGGGTCGGGGCGTTCAGGCAGAGAGAGGATGATAATTAGCTGAAATGTAATGTAAAGTGTATAACTGCCGTGCGAGTGCCTACTGTAGCAGCAGTGGGGGCGAGGGGGAGGGTGGGGGCGGGGTGGGAGGGTGGTGGCAGAGCGGAGGGGTATGGCGGTGAGAGCGGGGTGTTGGGGGAGCGGTTGGGTGTGGAGGAGAAGGCGGGTGTGCGGGGAGAGCGGGGGTGTGGGGCCGAGGATGGAGAAAGCGTGGGTGTGTGGGGAGAGCGGGGTGTGTGCGGAGCGTGTGGAGATCGGGGGGGGGCGAGGGTGGCGATTGAGAGCGGGGGGTGTGGGTCCTAGCACACCGGAGAGAGCCGGGGGTTAGTGGAGAAGTAGAGCCGCGGTGGTTAGGGACGTCTTATTTTGGGAAGGTTGGTGAGTCATTTATGAGTATGTTATAGGCTGTAAATCGTTCCTTAGCTTAGTAGTGCCTTATA